TGGGGAGGAAATGTATTTATTAGAGTTTTGGAGCCACGTGGGACACTCCCGTGTCACATATCGGCAGTGATGGAGAGGTTGCACTGGGGCTGGTGCCAACAAACATGCATGGTCACTCCCCATGCCTGAATCCTAACCCCTGGACTGGCATTCTACATCCAAGCCTCTGCTGCTCCAAACCTCAGCCATCCCCTGAGGATTCACTTATGGGTCTTTCCTGTCCCTTTTCTCAAAATCACAGAATCCCAGAATAGCTGGGCTTGGAAGGGCCCTCTGGAAATCATCCAGTCCAACCCCTCTGCAACATCACCTGGAACAGGTGACACAGGAACTCATCCTGGTGGGTTTGGGATGTCTCCAGAGTGAGGGACTCCATAACTCCCTGAGCTCCTGTTTCAGTGTTCTGCCACCCTCCATGGAATTAAGTTTTTTCTTGTCTTGAGATGGAACTTCTTGTGTTTTGAGTTTATTGCCGTTGCTCCTTGTCCTGTTGCTGGGCACCACTAAAAAGTGTCTGACACCATCCTCTGACATCTCCTGGGCATATTTATATAGATTGATGAAATCCCCTCTCAGTCTCCTCCAAACTAACCAGGCCCAGCTCCAGCAGTCTCTCCTCATCAGAGGGCTGCTCCAGTCCCTTAATCGTTATGGCCTCTATTGGACTCTCTCCAGTAACTCCTGACTTTCTTGAACTTGGAGACCAGAACTGAACACAGATATGGCCTCCCAGGGCAGAGCAGAGGGTAGGGATCACCTCCTTGACCTGCTGACCACACTCTCCCCAATGCCTCCCAGGATCTCATTGTCCCTCCTGGCCCCAGGGCACGCTGCTGGCTCCATGGGCAACTCATGGACTCCCTGGTCCTTCTCTGCAGAGCTGCTCTCCAGTAGGTCACCCCCAGCCTGTGCTGGTAGTTGGGCTTATCCCTCCCCAGGTGCAGGACCTGCACTTGCCCCTGTTGAACCTCATGAGGTCTCTCTCCATCCAACTCTGCAGCCTGCCTGGATCCCTCTGAATGCAGCCCAGCCCTCAGGTGGATCAGCCACTCCCTCAGTTCTGTATCATCACCAAACCTGCTCAGGGTCCATTCTATGCCTTCATCCAGGCTGGACCCAGTACTGATCCCTGGGGAATGCCACTGACTACAGGCCTCCAGCTGGATTCTGCTCTGCTCTCGACCCTCTGAGCTCAGCCATTGAGTCAGTTCTTGATCCACGTCACTGTCCATTCATCCAACTCACATTTCCTCAGCTTATCCATGGGGATGTTATGGGACACAGTGTCAAAAACCTTGCTGAAGTCAAGGTAGACACCACCCACAGCTCTCCTCTCATCAACCCATCCTGCTGTGCCATCATAGAAGGCATCAGATTGGTCAAGCAGGATTTCCTCTTGGTGAATCTATACTGACCATTCCCAATAACCTTGTTTACTTTCAGGTGCTTGGTGATGACCTTCAAAATGAGCTATTCCATCATCTTTCCAGGGATAAAGTGAGGCTAACTGGCTGGGAGTTTCCCAGATCCTCCTTCTTGCCCCTTCTGAAGACAGGAGTTAATTTTGGCTTTTCTCCAATCACTGGGCACCTCTCTTGTTCTCCAGGGTTTTTGAAAGATGATGGAGAGTGCCTAAGCAACAACCTCTGTCAGCTCCCTCAGCACCTGTGGGTGCATCCCACCATGGATTTATGGCTGTTAAGTCTGCCTGGCTGATCTCTCTCAACTTTCTGTGACCAAGTTTTCCTTTCTCCATCCTTCATCTCTTACTTCCAACATCTAGGATTCCTGAGGAGTGCTCTCAGCAGTAAAGACTGAAGCAAAGAAGGTGTTGAGTAATTTCACCTTCTCTGTGTTTTCTATGCCTAGGACACCCACTGGATTCAGCAGCAGCCCCACATTTTCCCTAATCTTCCATTTGTTGATGTACTTGGAGAAGCCCTTCTTGTTCTGGATATCCCTTGCCAGACCCAATTCCAAGTGGACTGTGCCCTTCCTTGTTGCATTCCTGCAAACCTCAAAGATGTTCCTATAGATCTCTCATGTACCTGTTCCTTTTTCATCATCCCATACCTTTCTTTCTTCCATTTGAGAATTGCTAGAACCTCTCTGCTCTTCCATGCAGGTCTCCTGCCCCCTTTGCTTCATTTCTGGATCATGGGGATACACTGATCTTGAATATTGACCAATATTCTTGGGCCCCCTTCCCTTCTAGAGCCCTATTCCATGGGATTTCTCTAAGTAGGTCTTTGGAAAGGTTGAATTGGCTCTCTGGAAAATCAGGGTTTTAGCCCTGCTACTGCTTTGCTTTCCCACTCAGGATCCTGAGTTTCACAGGGTCACTACAGGAAAGGCATTCCCCAACCTTCCCACCTTCAATCAGTTCCCCCTGCTTTGGTAGTACAAGGTTCCAGAAACACACCTCTCTTCCTTGGCTCTTCCACCACTTGTATCAAAAAGTTATTTTCAATGATCTGCAGGACCTTCCTGAACTTCCAGCCTGTGCCAGGCTGTGTTGTCTCTCCCAACAAATATCAGCATGGCTGAAGTTCCCCAGAAGAACCAGGACCTGTAACCATGAGTCTATTCCAGCTGCCCATGGAAAACCTCATCAACTTCCTTGCCCTCACAGTTGCCTTGTATTAAATAGCCACCACAGTGTCACCCACAATCTGTAACAATAATCCCACAGCAACCAGCCAAGCTCTGTTTTCAGAGAGATCCTCCTCTATCCCTGGAATGCAGCTGCCCTAGAAACAAAGGCAGCGAGATGCAATTGCTGAGAGCAGTTTGCAGCACAGAACTCCTCAGAGTCAGCCAG